TTTTTTAAATTCTTGATAAGAACATTCAGAGCCGTCATATCCGTGCTCGTTGTGCAACCATAGTATCTATGTCCGTGACTGGCAATGACGATAAAATATGCGGTCAGGTCTTAATACGAACTTTTAGTGGTGGGAGAAATTGTGAAGCTGAAGCAACATCTGTTGGACAAAAACAATAATAAAACAAAAATATGAAATAAGTTTCAAATAACATAACTGAACATGTAGAATATTGTAAAGAACTTGTTAAAAACTGTATTAAACTTGTCATAAAATTATAATAAAACACATTTTGAATGTTCTTATTAGTATACACTTACCTCTTAAGTATAAGGTATTCATTTTTAAAAATGTCTAGAAAGTGTTGTATAATTAGTTGCAAAAGTTTTGATGGGGAATGCAGCTTTTTTAGTATTCCTAAGGCATCGTTTTCTTCTTGGGCAGAAATTATTAAATCAATTAATGGATGCGATACCAAAATAGGATGAGACAACACACAGCAGTCCAAAACAGAGAGCTTAAAAAAAGCAGTTTATTAAAAAAAAAAATCAAAATTAGTTTAACATTAATTTTATAATACACATATCCATAAAACTTACATTTTAACATTTTGGATTAAAAATAAAAGTTAAATACTATTTTGTAACCAATATATTCAATATTCATGTTCAATATTTGGTAGGTAAAACTGAATTGAATTAGTTACACAGTTGTAAAAATGGAATAGGTATGTAATAAACTCTGACTTTGTAATATACATACTATATAAGTAGGTACATTTATATCATAGAATAGATGAAGTTTTAAAAAAATACACACTACACTACCAACAGACAACAAGCACAAAATTAATATATAAAAATTATTAGGTAGTACTGTAGTAGGCAGTGCCCAGTAGGTATAAGAAACGAGAAACATAATATAATATAATATAATATGAAATATATTTACTATGAAGTAGGTATAATTACCTTAAATTTTAAAAATATTTTGTAAAGCAACGGTCCACGATATACGATACTACGATAGTTACAAAAAACAACACAAGGATCGCCCCAATCAGATAAATTCTCCCTCATAGAAAACCACGTATTAAAACTTGACCACACCGCTACCATCCGCCGGCCCAACCGTTACCAGTCCATCTCCATATTGTCTCAGTTCATTGTCGCAATCGAGTCTGCTGTTCCGCCACAGCGCGTACGTCCGTTAAAGTTTTGATCATAAAACCGTCGAATTCGGTCGACCGTTCGCGTGCTCGCATCCGGTCGCCGTCGTTCCTATAGCCTGTCCTCGAGTCCTCGGCTTTGCATATCCTCGACGTATCCGTGGAAGTCGACTGCTGTCTGTACACGTGGGTACGTGCTGTGAGTCCATCCGCGCGTGTTGTCAGTCCATCCGCGCGTGTTGTCAGTCCATCCACGCGTGTGCTCGTCGCCGCGTGATTTACGTCGTTCGCGGACGAACTGCTTCGATCGACGCTCCGCAGACGTCGTATCCGTTGTTCCGTTATCGTCGAAAACGACGATCGTGTCTGCTAAGCCGCTGTCGTCCACGCGTGCGTTTGACGCCCCCTGCACGACCGATCCAGTTGTGCGTACTGGTTTCCATACTGGTCCTGGTCGTCCCGACTGGAAGCGCCGCTGTTGTTCCGCATGCTTCATGGCTGCGGGTGTCGAGTCGTTCCTGGTCATCTATAGTCAATAAACGTCGAGGAGTAAATAATTCAGTATGGACCGATCAACGACATCTATTGATGATTCTGCGATTAATGCCAAGTAAGCAAATGTACTATTAGCTAGTGAAACGTTGCAAAAAGATGGCATATTAACCTTCATAGGTAGTGGAATTATTATTATTTTTAATTTGCTGTTCTTATAATTAAATTTATTATAATTACTATAATTTATTTTAATTTATTATTTATTTATTTATTTTATTTAAATTTTTTTTTTTTATGTAACTAAAACTTTGTATTTGATTTAAATAGCAGGTAATTGCCTACTGAATAATAAATAATTTGCAATTTACTTTAGGTATGATTATATATTACAAAGTTCCAGAGTGTTGACGATTCCACTCATTAGATGTGATCAACCATTTAATAGAGTTATTAAAGAGGAAATAATTGAGGAAACAGACCGTAATAATGATGAAAAATTATTACAAATAGGGTAAGAATTGTTTATACTTTGTAGCTTAATTTAATGATACTATCTACTAACCTAACTGATAAACAAGTATATTTAACATTTAATTTAATAGAAAAAGAAGCTATCCTATTATAAACTCTCATTAGTATAAGGTATAACCATTGATTTTATAATATTAATAATAGTATTATATAATCAATGGCACAACTAACAGAATTTATCTCGGAATTTATTAATCACTTCTGTTAATTTTTGGTTAGTAAATTGTTTAATAGAACTCAGTAGAAGTGTCTGTTTATACCTCCAACCATGTTTAGTTAGTAGTGACTAATTTCTAAAATTAACTTGATATAATTAGGTATTTAATGGTAAATTTATACATGTAAAAAATGAATGCACACTTCCACAGGTGGGCATAGAGTTAAGCATTAGAGTGTGCCTGGCTTTTTTTTGTATTTAGTTATTATTTAATAATAAAGAGGCTATACTATAGACAAATTCACCCATTTCATGCATTTTTTAAATTGTTATTCATATAATTATTATTTTTTAATCATTGTTATCATAGTGGTGTCGATTTCTGAGAAAAGACAAATTTTTGGGTGGTAAATTGTTTGATAGTTCTCGGCGCCAATGTCTGTTTGTACGTCAAACTATGATCAGGCGCGGACTGGTAAAAAAGGGCGCGGGATGCTACATAATTTAAAGGGCAAATAAAACAAATTTTAAATAATAGGTTATTTATAAAATATTTAAACATTTTCTTTTGTTTTATTAAAATATTGTAAATACGTTAAAAATGTAAATAGGTNCCCCCCCCCCCCACCTCCGCCTCATAACAATTAGAGCTAAGTTCCTCTTATAAAGATTGTGTTAATAATAAATTAAGAAAGTATGTTTAATGTATATAAAAAGCTGCTCAAACTAATTTACCTATTTTCTTATTGGCTACCTACTTTAAATGTATTATTTTTTCTTTATGATTGTTATAGTTATTCCTTTTTAGTTATTACAAAAAAAAATAGATCTACATCTACCTACGATTTTATCAGAGAATTTTAACCTTCTCCTTCAAAATTCAGATTAATTTTAGGTGGGCACATTTATACCGATAGGGGGGCAAATATATTTTAGGGCAAGGGATGCTGTAGTATCCCAGCCAGTCCGCGCCTGACTATGATAATGTCTAGTAGTTGGTAAACGATTTCTTAAAATTAACTTGGAAACTGATAAGACTATAAAATATAGTAGTATTGAATACATTATTTTTAGTATTTATTTATTTATTTTGTGATAGACTATTTATGGGTTGATGTATATATTAATACAATTAATACACACCTCCTTTATGTAAAACTTGAATTGGAAGTATTGTTCTTAATTTAAAGTTATAATATTATATTGTTATAACTTATACACTAAACACTTATTTTAAGTATAATAACAACGAGCAATTATAGTGTAATGGTAATTAAAATTTTTTCCAAAACGTTAGTATCTAGGTAAGTGTTTAGGGCATTCATGGAGTTAGGGGATTTATTGTGATATTTTGATTAGATACTAACAGAAAAACATGGTTCAATACTGAGTTATACAAACAAAAAAGACAACACAGGGCATTAGATGCATTAGTAAATTATGTAAAAACAACGAGTGGTCAAAAATTCATAGACTACCTTGGGCCTACTACTTTCAATTCATTGGATTATGATATAAAACAGAAATTACAATACTATACAAACGAAAAAAAAAAAAACTAATTAATGAATAGTTATGGTGCAATTTACCTTAAATCAAGTTCTTTTTATATTTTAAGCTATGTAAATAATTTTAATTTATATTTGTTTTATTTGTGTATGTTTGAATATAATGTTATTTTATAGTTTTGTTTTTATCATGTATAATTTCTAAAAAAAAAATACAAAATTGATATTTGTTTATTTAGTTTTATATGTATTTAAAATTTTAATTTAGTATAATTTCCTTTATTAATAATTATATTACATAATTGAATAACTTTCTATCTCCAACACAAGCTTTGCTTAAAGGAGACAGATAATCAAAAATGTTATCTATATAAATAATTTATGTATATTCTTTCTTTTCGATTAATAAAAAAAAAAGTGTGCTATAGTTACAATGGTATAAATTTTTAAATTAAAATATTATGCAATATTAAAGCAATATTTAATGAACATTTGAAGAAAAAAAGATTTATGAAATCTAGAAATAGTCACATTACATTTTTTTTAAATTTAGTATTAACATTATGTTTACATATTGAAAAATGTTTCTGTTTATTTGCAAAAAGAAAATAACTCGGAAAATAAATTAAATATTAGTGTAAAAAAATTGGTCTTTTTTAAACATGAAATACCTTCCTAACAAATCATATTTTAATAAAATCTGCAGCTTCCTTTCTAAACCCTATTTAACCATATTTAATACATTTTTTGGAATTTATCCCTCTTCTTACAAAACATGTATAATTACCCCAACTACTTCTTATTTAAAATTGTTGATAAAAAAGTTTAAGTAATTGCAGTTCCATTTTTTTTAATGAGTAATGTTTTTGTAAAATGTATTAAATCTAGTTTTCTTTGTTCTCTTAATGATAACAATTTTTTTTCCTGAAAATCAGTATGATTTTTTTCCAGGTAAATCAACAATTGATACTTTAGTTATTGTGGGTATTATGTCAGACATAATATTGGCAATAATGAAAAAGTTATTTGTATATTTTTAGATGTTAAAAAGAGTTTTATTTTGTCAATCATGAATTACTTATAAGAAAAATAGAATATTGTGGTATTAGAATTAATGAATTTGTTTTTGTCCAATAGGTATCAATTAGTTAGTCTTTTATAGTATTTGGTTACCTGTGCGTTTTGGAGCCCTACAAGGGAAAGTTTTTTTACCTTGACTTCACATTTTTATTCTAACTATCTACTAAAATTAAATTTTTGTGCTCATGTTTTGCTGAAGATATATTTATTTTGGTCAGTAATAAAACGATCACTGATTTATATATACATAATTCTACTAAGTATAAAATAAATGTAAAGATGTAAAACTGTGAATGGATGTAATTAA